ATCAAAGAAATGTCTCATCACAAACTGTAATAATATGAAAACGTGTAACAACAGACCTTTCCTCATTACCTATCCCAACTGCAAATAATATCTTCATAAATCATTTGTCTACTGTCTCTCTTCCCTGTTAGACTGGGCTACAGGAAGGTGGGGACAATATCTAGGCTCATTCTCTGCTCCATCCCATCCTTAGCAAAATGCTTGGCATGGAGGAGGGAGGAGGTATTCAGACATAGTTGCTTCATAAATGAGCATTTCCTCCTGGATGACAAAAGAAATCTAACATTCTGTGCTTCCAGACAGAGGGTGCAGGTATTCTGCTGCACTGAGTAGTAGAAAAATAGATCAAATGGCCTCCGCAGAAGATTCCCAGGGATTTTCAAAGTCAGCAACAACCTATTGTGAGGGAAGCTGGTTGACATAAAACGGGAAGCTTGCAAATATAGTTAGGAGATGTGTAGACTGGCAAGAGCCTCTAGGGATTGTGACTGTGTGATTTCCCCAGGCAAGAACTTTGAGGTGTGGTGGGCCAGGGCAAGCACAGGCTCCAGAGAAAATCTTGGGCTTAGAGTGCAGCTGTGTACTTCCTGGCTATATGTGACCTTGAACAAGGCACTTCACCTGTCTTGGCCCTCATGGTAAAGTGAGCATGGCAACAACAGGCCTAACTCTGAGAGTCATTCTTAAGGTTAAGAGAGAGAACACATGGAAAGTCCTTAGCACAATGGCTAGCTGGTTCAGGTCCGGTTCTCCAGGAACAGACCTGGAGACCAATTAGCATGTAGGAAGTACAAGGGGAGTGCTAGGGGAGAAGAGAAAGCAGGAAGGAGAACTTGGGCTGCAATGCAGTCTCAACAAAGGCCACAGGTGAACGCACAGGGAGCTCTGAAGCTGCGACAGCCCTTCTGAGTTGTCCCACCTCAAGGCAAAGGTCTTTATATGCCCAGTTACCCAGTTTATTGGATGCGGGCTTCCCAAGTGAGGGGCTTTGACCTTGGTGAGGCTGCCTCCTTCAGTCAAGGGCAATTCTCAGAGGAGAACTCTACCAACAAGACTCAGCAACTCTACCTCCAGCATCTGGAAGGAGACATCTGGAAGGACAAATACGGCAGTCCTAAAGGGGAGGCCCGTCTGGGCAGCACGCCACGACATCCACTATACTAGCATTGAATATGAACCTTTAAAGCCATTGTAGCAGCTTTTTAAAATTTCTCAAAGCTGCCTGGCCAGCATGGCTCAGCCATTGAGCATCGACCTAGGATCCAGGAGATAGTGGTTTAATTCCAGGCCGGGGCACATGCCTGGGTTGCAGGCTCGATGCCCAGCAGGGAGCGTGCAGGAGGCAGCCAATCAATGACTCTCATCACTGATGGCTCTATCTCTCTCTCCCTCTCCCTTCTTCTCTCTGAAATCAATAAAGACATACACAAAAGAAAAAAAAAAAAAAAGACAAGAAGAGCCACCAGAGAGCTGTTGGCTCTAATCTGAAAGTGGCTTTACGTAAAAGCTCAGTTCTTTGGGACTCTATTCCTTGCATTTTCCATTTCCCGCGAACAGGTGAGGCAGGGAAAGCCTGCCCTTATACCGTCTTGGAAGTGCAGAAGGCTGACCGCTTCAGGTGCTTTCCCTAGGGCCAATGGGAGGCGTTTCCTAACCACAGCACAGAGGCTTCTCGCTTGCTCACTGCAGAGCTAAAGGGAAAGGTGGGGAGTGAACTCTCCAAGCACGCCATCCGAAGCAGATCAGCTAGCTCCCTGTGCCTTTCGCAAGGTGCCCCTCCAGCTCCAGGCTGTGGAAGGAAGGAGTGATTTCTTTCCACAGTATACACTGCCCACTGTTTTGGACCCTGACCTAGACCTCAGGGGAAAGAAAAGAAATAGGCAGCGCTGAAACGCTCTTTCCCTCCTGCTCGACATGGGCCATCTGTTTCAGAAACACGAGGGCAAGTGGAGCCAGCCCTCAGCTGCCTGATCTAATGGTAACACATTAAAGGCACGTCTCCGAAGGTTCAGGATTTTCAAAGCATTTTAAGTCAGTTTCACCCACTCTATGTCTCTCATCGACCTAGAAGTCCCATGCTGGGTATCTGATAAGTGAGCCTGTGTTTCACATTTAACCCAATATGTATGCACAGAGAATGCGAAACAACACAGAACAGCCCACATGAATTAGGTTACATAAACACCTCCCTAATTTGAAGGTGGCGAAGGGGATGCGACCAGTTCAGGGAATACTATTTTCAAATCCCATGTTCTTGCTTCCAGGTACAATGAGAACTTGAATTGATGACAAAGCCAAGCTCTGCAGCTTTCAGTAGGCGAATGGATAAGAAACACTTGCAAAAGCACGCTCAGATGAAAATGTTCTGGAATTATGGTGGTGATGGTTGCATAAATCAAAGATGGAGAATGTAAGCTTTAAAAGGGGGAATTTTATAGTATGTGAATGATACCTCAATCTTTTTTTTTTAATAAAAGCACACTTAAAACTAGGATTCCCCATGAAGGTTTGGGCTTTTCTCAGCTGTAACACCTGCTCTAGCAAAACACTTCTCTGCTCTCAGGGGCACAAGAGCCTGTCAGCTCCCCCAGGGGGAACCAAAGTTGGGGGCCCTGGAGTCAACCCCAGCTCTGCCAAGTTCCAGCTGTGTGTCCTTAGGGACATAACCCTCTTCTACCTACCTGATAGCCTGGAGAAGTCTTAGGACCATCTTGCATACAGCAGGAACTCAGGACGTGCCCCCTGTTAAGGTCTACTCCTGAGGAAGCTTAAACCACAGCAAGTAGAGAGCACTGTTTCTCACCTCCTGAGATCATGGCACATCCTGGGGAGAGGGGCATCAATTTAGGATCTTTAAAGGCTGGTACCAAGCCTTGTATGTAAATTTTCCCCAACTTAAACTTTGAACCATAATTTGTACCCACACCTTGGATCCTCCTCCTGTCTTTTTCATTTCCTCAGACCTCTGAGCCTGTACCCCACTCCATCAGAGATGCTAAATTCACTCCCCCAGGAGACACTAAACCATGTGTCCACTCTACAGAACAAATGTTCCAACCCCACCCCATCATGCCTTAAAGTCTTATAACTCGTGGGTATGTTGCTGATCTCTATTTCTATTCCAAATTCTGTCTCTTTCTCTATCAGACTATACTGTCTTAGTTTTGGAAGTTTAATCATATAGTTTACTATTTGTTGGGGGGAAATCTCCTTTTTAAAACTCCCTTTTAAAAACTCATTTCTTAGATGTAAGTTCATTTTCTTTCTTTTTTATGAGAACAAATCCATTTTACTTAGTTTTCAGTAAGTTTAAATCCTTGAGGGGAACAGCATTACACAGATTCTGTGTCCAGTGGCCTTAGCAGGAAGATTGCTTCGGAATTTGACACAAGCCATGCCACTGCTTCCATAAGCACGAGTTACCTTTCCCCAGATGACTCTGGGTTTGTCCAGTTTGCCACCAGGAGTCACTGTGTTGTCCTTTGCTTTGTGCACATAAGCACATCTCTTGCCCAGATAGCATTCAGTTTCATCTCGAGCATAATCTCCTTCAGTTTTAACAAGAGCTGTGTGCTCCCTCTGGATCCAGAGACCCCGCCTATTGCCAGCAAACATGGCCTTGGACCACAGCCTTCTAGACGTATTTGTCCTCATAGAAGTCCTGTTCCCAGCAGCCTCCACGGGGTCCAACTTGGCAGAAAAAGTATGTCTATTTTCTTTCATGAACCGTAAAAATTATACTTTCAAGTTGCAAAAAAGAAATCCCATTCATGGAACTTCATTTAGTTTACAAAGACTGCACAAATGTGAGGGCCACCTACTGTTGGTCTTCTTCGCAAGCACAGGTTTTCCCATTTAGGGGCATGGGTTTACGTCTATGCTAATGTACCGCAGTCAAGTTTTAGACATTCTAGGAATTACATGGGTTTTGTTGGGATCTACTTCCTGTTTATTGTTAATGTGTAAGAAAACTATAACGTTCTCTTTATTTAGTAGTTGGCTCCCTGTGAAATTATTCTACAAGTTTTTTAGTTGTTTCTCTTGGGTTCTCTTTTCTAATGTTTCTATGAGTTCTCACTCCATTTTCTTAAATAATTGTGCTTCCTAAACAATGCTGAAGCGTGGGGATAGAGGTCACCCTGTGTTGTGCCTCAATGTAATGGGTGTACCTCTAGAAACAAATTAGTTCTTTACATCTGCTTTCTAAATTTAGTTTACAGAGACATTTGCTAATAGGAAAACTGTACATACTAAAAAAAAATGTAGAATGTTCACAAAATAGAAATTGCTCTTAGGAGTGACTGGCCTCTACTGTGACCCTCTGGCTAGAGCTCATGATGACAGAAGCTACTTGTAATGCCAGTGTCAAAAGCCAGCATATGGAAAGAGTTAGGATGTTGACTCTTGTGCCCTCGCCAAAGCCTTTGTCAGCACAGCTGGGGAGGGCTGCACAGACTGGGCCCTAGCTTGGAAATTGCAGCCTAGAAGTTACCGTGCAGGTTCCAACACCTCCATTCCAGCGCTGCCTCTCTGGCTTCTGGTCCTGACTGGTATTGTCTCCCAGGCTTCAGGCAAGCCATGAATTCGATACAAAAAAGCTGGTCTGGGTTTCAGCTTACTGGAAAATAAGAATCACCATTCCATTATAATTTTGTTTAAACGCCAGATTGCTATGTGGAATGTTTTCATAGGTTACACTAAGGTTAACTGCATCTTAACTAGTTAGAAATCCCTCCCATCAGTGGTCTGAAAGTGCAGCAACTTTACTGTACTTAGAAGTTCATCATGTCCTAGGGCAGCTTATCACTTAAGCTTATTTCCACAGTTGGCTTCACTTGGAACTGACAACTGAGGAATTTTAATGAGTTTGACAGGGAAAGGACAGCCACACAAGATTTTTGCTGTTTTTTCCCCACATGGGATTTTTAAAAATCTGGTTTCCTTTCAGCAGATTTCTTCATTGAGCCTACAGAAACAAACAAAACACTAGCACACCATCAAACTCTTCAGTGAAAATGTATTTCACGTTAAAGACAATGTACACATCATGCAAATGAGGCATCACCACAGTCACAATGACGCTGTGAGGCACAACAGATCACAACAAAACAGACCTTTAGCAAAATAAAGCTGTAAGAAAGATGCGAGGCATTTTTTGAAAGTCATGCTGTCATTTTCTATGTGCTTGTCATAAAAGGGATTTTCCCTGATAGTCATCAAGATCAATGGCACTGCGTTGGTGGAGGCATATATTTTATTTAGTATATACACATACACAAACATACACAGTTTCCATAACTAATAGTCTTAAACTGCAGCTGGTTTCGAAAGCACATAAACAATATTACTATTGACACTGCTTTATATTTCCTGGTTTCAAACCTCAGTCAGCATTATGGATCTTTATGAACTCTTATTATACAAGAAAGAGTTTCAAAGAAGAAAAGGTCATTTTAATCTGAAAGTCACATTTCACCACAAGAAACAAAATTAAGAAAACACATTATATGGCGTAAAACATGAGAAGTGTACATTCTAGCGTCATCTGTCCTCCGTTCAGATGTTTTATGTTGAAGTCCATTACAGTGACACACTGAGTCCCGTTCGGGGCCCCCGTTTCGGAGCGCTATCATTTCCATCGGTGCCTGGTTTTATTCAAGTTGAGCAAACACAGGAGCGAACAAACAAACAAAAGCCCCAACAGCAACAACATGAAAACCAACCAGCAGTGCATGAGACACACGATTCATTCAGTCCAAAAGCCACTCGATGGATTAGAGTGGCTACAGCTTGGGGATGTTAAGGTGCAACACGAAAGGTGCTCACTAGACTCAGCTGCTCATGTCCATAGGAATGTAAGAAAACAGAAATCATTCCACACTGTTTAATGGCTTCCTAATTCAACCAGACTTATTCCGTTAGCTCCTCAAGGAGTAATGTGACGCAACACGTTTTGCAGGTGACTAAGCTTAATAATAAGAAAAACAGCTTCTTGATAGTAACTTCCAACAAAGAAACCCCAGAGAGAGGGAGAAACCCTCTGGAATTTCTTCTTCTAAACACAGGTGTGAGATATGCAGCCCAAGTTCAGTATATGTTTAAGTAGAGTCTGGGTAAGTATCTAGAATATTTACAGGAAACAATATCTAAATGTTCATGGGCTCCAACTTTGGGAATAACGGTTACAGGTGAATTTCCGAGCTGGAATGACTCGGTTTCGGATGATCACTATGGTAACAGTAAGTAGTACAGAAAGCGCTTTGTCAGCAGCCGAAGCTCATAAATAGAACCATAACATGAAACGGCGCTAAAGCCGACAAGGCCAACTTCGCAAGGTGTCTACCGTGAGTGGCCAGTGTTTGATATACTAACTAGGAATACAGTTACACTTCAATCTAACAATGTGGAATCCAGTGGGTAAGGATGACAGAAGCTTCTTCCAAGGGCCAGCAGCTCGGATCTGACTACCAGCATCTTCACGGCTTCTCGCAACACCATCTGTGTCAATTCACAAACAAACCCTGGTGAGACCAATGAAGACACCAAGTATATTGCAATTTGTAGCCTCTATTCCCTTTCACTAAAATGTTCACACACTGTGGGACCTGCTGCCTGCTTGGTGATTTTATTTCCTTGGTTCACATGGTATCTCTCAGCAGAAGTGCTGCATCATCTTGTATAGAACTGTTTTTAGGTGGGCCAAGTTTTCTTTGCACGGACTGTGTGAAACCTGCAGGCTGCTGAAAGTCCCAAACTTTGCTTTCCAAATGCTAGTGCTGCCACCAGCCATGTGACAGCAAAACCCCCAACACATTTCTAAATGCTGCCCCCCCGAACCATGCAGGGGTGGTGCCACCTCTGGTTGAGAATAATTTAGGAACTGGACTAAAAAACAAATGAAAATATACAAACAGTTATAAATGCAGTTATCTAGCTAAGGTATTTTCTTTTTGGACAGGGATTTTGCACTTCTTTTAGTTAGAGATGTAGAGAATAGACTCAAGGAGCCTAGGTTTTGTGGATTTTCTGGTCTTTACTGGATAGTGATGTCAGTGGACTGAAGGGTTCAAGGTATGCTAACAATAAAAGAAACCTTTGACTAAATATTAAGCCGTATGTCAGGGAGATAGAATGCTCAGGTGAATTGTTTTTGGTTTTGGAGTGTCCAAGAAGGCAGCTGCTCTTCCAAACCAGGAATATTCTTTATTCTAAAAATTATGTCACACATTCCCTCTCATGTGTGAAGGTACCACATCTGCTTTCCCAAGAGCCAAGAGACGTAAACTCTAAAATGCACTGTGTACAGCCTACAGCTGAGGTTAGGTAGAAATAAGTATAAAAAACACCGCAACCTTGGCCATGTGGCTTCCCCAACCTGCTTCCTCATTTAAGAAAGAGAAAGATTGGACTAGGTCATATCAGGCATCAAAGTTCTGTTATAGGAGTGGAGCATCACAAAACACAAAGTGGCCAAGAGAATGCTGAGACTATAAAAATGTCTAAAAGGAGTCTAAAGTGGGAGGAAAATTGGCATTATTAAGTTACAAACAATTGGTGGTAAATTGTTTTCATCACTGAAAAACAAATGAGCCCCAAACTGAAGTAAATCCAATGTGAGGTATGTGTAACTAAAGGCACATAAATGCAGAGGGTTTAGAACCCATATATAACTTGCTCAAATGAGAAGAGCTTCTAGAAGGACTTTGGCAAGAAAAAAGACCAAAGGTGGGAAACAAAACCTTCAGGGCACAAACTTCAGTCTCCCCACCCCCCACTCCCTCAGGTACACTCCAAGAGCAAATGTTGCTTTGGAAGGCTCCAGAACGGGTCAACAGGACAGGAAATCATCTGGCCGAACACTCATCAATGTATACGAATGATTCTGGATAGAATGTGAGATGTAGCTGAGTAAAACTTGGGGAGAAGTTCATTTTATGAACATCGCCTTGAACCACTATTAGAGCAGTCTCTCTTTGCTTCTAAATAAGGTGCTACTCGAGATAGGTGGTGGGTCAAAGTTTTAGGCAGCGCTTCTCAATACACACACCCATCCACACACCCTAACGGCAGGGCCAGGCATGGAGGGTGTGGTGCTAAAGGCTCCCATGTGAAGGATTTACTTGAAATCCACTTCAATTCTTGTGTGTACTGCAGTATGTACTACATATTCAAATTCATACTTGCATTTTTCAAATAAAACTGCCTGTCCAGGAGGCTGCGTGATGTTTATCCTACCTTCATGACCCCAGTTGGAGTTATAGATTTAGACTATCAGCAAAAGACTGTACCTTTCATTAAAGAGATGCTGTATTTGTCAACAGAAGGTGTTCAGAGTATTTTCTTGGCTGGGACTGTTAAATCCTTCGATCAGGTTTTTGTTACAGTCATCCAGGCTGAGATTTTCACTGGATCTCTTGGGGAACATGGGGGGGCCGGTGAAATCTAAGAGATCTTGAAGAGCTCGGGCATTACCAGTTCCATTTTGGTCCAGAGACACCCCAGGAATCATTTCACTCACTGGTGAAAATTCTGGGATGGAGATAAGCTCTTCTTTTGAAACAGGACTGGGTGGCAGGCAGAAAGGAGGGGAGAAGGAGAGGGAGAGGGAGAGAGACAGACAGATAGATAGAACTATTAATTCTAATATTTTGTTATACTACTCTTCTTTCCTAGAGTAGATGGATTTAGAGCCAGAGCTTGTGTGTAGCACATTGTAAAAAAATGTAAGTTAGGCCCGGCCGGGCGTGGCTCAGCAGTTGAGCGTCGATCTGGGATCCAGGCGATTGGGGTTCGATTCCCAGTCAGGGCACATGCGGGTTGCGGGCTCGATCCCCAGTCGGGGGCATGCAGGAGGCAGCCAGTCAATGACTCATCATTGATGTTTCTCTCTCTCTCTCTCCCTCTCCTTTCCTCTCTCTGAAATCAATAAAGATATATTTTTTAAAAAATGTTAGTTCACATCTGAGATACTGACAGACACAAGGCCCCAGTGGATGAGAACTAGGGAAGGGGACTGAGCAGGGCTGTGAAGGTCAAGCTCACAGTGTCCACAGGAAGGAAGAAAACAAGAAGCACAGGCACCAGCCCTCTACTGCAGAGAAGTCAAGTACTTCCCAAACCTTTGAAATGGGAAACCCAGACAGAATGCACACGCTGGAAGTTAAAAGCGAGCTGAAGAAGGGCCTTAGTTGGCACTGGGCCTTGGAGTGCTGCCTCTCTCCAGCAGTGCAGCCCTGGGCGAGCTGCTTTTACTTCCTGGGCCTCAGCTTCCTCTGCTGTAAAATGGGGTGAACAGTCATTTCTCCCTGCCAGGGCTCCCGAGAGTGGGATGTGCTCACACTGGGGAGTATTCCTGCATCTGTCTACTGTAAGCGCTCATTAAGGTTGGGACCATCGTCAACAAGGACCCCATTATTTACCTTGTCACCTGCAGAGCGACTCTCCCACTGCTCCCTCTGTAAAATGAGGCTTCTGCTCCACCCCTGACTTATCCAGCTCCTGCCCAGTGGGCCTGGTCCCCTCTCTCTCTCGTCTCCCTAGAGATGGGAGGCAGCTGTGTCAACCACGAGTGGCTGACTGCAATTTGAGGGCCTGTCACCTGGAGTCTCTCTTAACAGCCAGAGTAAGGCTGCTTCCAGGTTGGTCTGTTCTTTTTTTACTCAATAAGATCTTAGAGAATAATCTAGAAAAACCTGTTGAACTGTAGAAGCTCAGAGGATCCATCTCCCTCACACTGAGCAGCAGCTGACCTAATACCATTTCTGGTGGCTGGACCCTGGGCAAACTGCCTCATTAGCAAAAACATCCGCCCCACCTCCTTTTCCTGGGTTTAAACAGCTTCTCAGTGCTNGTTCACATCTGAGATACTGACAGACACAAGGCCCCAGTGGATGAGAACTAGGGAAGGGGACTGAGCAGGGCTGTGAAGGTCAAGCTCACAGTGTCCACAGGAAGGAAGAAAACAAGAAGCACAGGCACCAGCCCTCTACTGCAGAGAAGTCAAGTACTTCCCAAACCTTTGAAATGGGAAACCCAGACAGAATGCACACGCTGGAAGTTAAAAGCGAGCTGAAGAAGGGCCTTAGTTGGCACTGGGCCTTGGAGTGCTGCCTCTCTCCAGCAGTGCAGCCCTGGGCGAGCTGCTTTTACTTCCTGGGCCTCAGCTTCCTCTGCTGTAAAATGGGGTGAACAGTCATTTCTCCCTGCCAGGGCTCCCGAGAGTGGGATGTGCTCACACTGGGGAGTATTCCTGCATCTGTCTACTGTAAGCGCTCATTAAGGTTGGGACCATCGTCAACAAGGACCCCATTATTTACCTTGTCACCTGCAGAGCGACTCTCCCACTGCTCCCTCTGTAAAATGAGGCTTCTGCTCCACCCCTGACTTATCCAGCTCCTGCCCAGTGGGCCTGGTCCCCTCTCTCTCTCGTCTCCCTAGAGATGGGAGGCAGCTGTGTCAACCACGAGTGGCTGACTGCAATTTGAGGGCCTGTCACCTGGAGTCTCTCTTAACAGCCAGAGTAAGGCTGCTTCCAGGTTGGTCTGTTCTTTTTTTACTCAATAAGATCTTAGAGAATAATCTAGAAAAACCTGTTGAACTGTAGAAGCTCAGAGGATCCATCTCCCTCACACTGAGCAGCAGCTGACCTAATACCATTTCTGGTGGCTGGACCCTGGGCAAACTGCCTCATTAGCAAAAACATCCGCCCCACCTCCTTTTCCTGGGTTTAAACAGCTTCTCAGTGCTTGGGGAGGAGAGGATGCCACAGCCTTGGTGCAACCTCCAGAAATCGCCTCTCTCCAGAGGCACAGGAAGCTACCAGGAGAACTCAGTGCACACACAAAGCCCCTTCCCTTTCTTGAACTCTGGCAGGGGCCATGTCTTGTCCCCTTCCCCACCCAGATACAAAAGGAATAAG